TGCTTGGTCATTCGTACACTCGGAGCCAGTTTGATCCTTGCGTATATTTTCGCAAGATGAAAGGAGGTGCGTACATTTATTTGTTGCTATATGTCGATGACATGTTGGTTGCCTCTATTTCCAGGTCGGCTATAGATGAATTGAAAGTTCAGCTTTCAAATGAGGTTTTCTCTCCGGTGGTGAAGCATTCTTCGATTCGGATTTTGCTAGCTTTGGTGGCACAATATGATTTGGAGTTCGATCAGTTGGATGTGAAGACGGTATTTCTTCATGGTGATCTTGATGAAGAAATATATATGACTCAGCCATTGGGATTCCGAGCTGCAGGGAAAGATAAATTGGTTTGCAGGTTGAAGAAATCGCTATACGGTTTGAAACAGTCTCCTCGACAGTGGTATAGACGATTTGATGGTTTTATGCTTGGTCATTCGTACACTCGGAGCCAGTTTGATCCTTGCGTATATTTTCGCAAGTTGAAAGGAGGTGCGTACATTTATTTGCTGCTCTATGTGGATGACATGTTGGTTGCCTCTATTTCCAGGTCGGCTATAGATGAGTTGAAAGTTCAGCTTTCAAATGAGTTTGAGATGAAGGACTTGGGCGAGGCGAAGCGCATTTTAGGGATGGAGATCGGCAGAGACAAGAAGAAGTGCAGAATTTGTTTGACACAAGTGGCTTATTTGAAGAAGGTTCTACAGCGATTCCATGTTAGTATGGATACAAAGTCAGTTAGTGTACCTTTGGACGCCCATTTAAAGCTTTCAGCTGGTCTTTCACCAAAGTCAGTTGAAGATCGAGAGTTAATGTCGAAGACTCCATATGCGAGTGCGGTTGGGAGCTTGATGTACGCAATGGTATGTACGAGACCGGATTTGTCACAGGCGGTAAGCATGGTTTCGAGATACATGCATGATCCAGGAGCGGGTCATTGGGACGCCGTGAAATGGATTTTGAGGTACATTCGAGGTACGCTCAATGTTGGTTTGGTTTATGAGCGGGACACTACAGGTGGGCAGCTATGCATTGGCTATGTTGATTCGGATTATACCAGGGATTTGGATAAGCATCGGTCTACTACAGGATATGTGTTTACTTTGACCCGTGCGCCAGTGTGTTGGAGATGCACCTTACAGTCTACGGTGGCTTTGTCTACGACGGAGGCAGAGTATATGGCAGTTACGGAGGCTGTGAAGGAGGCTATTTGGCTTGGCCTTTGGAGGCCATTTGGGTGAACTACGTTCGGCTTGATTCCTTGGGCAAGAGGATACGTAGGTAGTCTTTCAGATGCAGCCGGTTTGGATTAGTTGTTTTTGATGGGGGTGAGATTGTTTGGACTCTCGTTCGGGTTCTCGACTTGTTATGGATTGAGTTCGTACTGGACACAACAAGTTGAGACATTTGGTTGCTTTGGTGTCGGCTTAGTTTTGGGAAAACTTCACCGAGGTGGAGAATTGTGAACACGTGATTGTGGGACCCCCCAAGGCAAAGCATTTACGTGTGAAGTGAACTCGTGAACGAAGCCTTGAAGGCCCATGAAGCCCACCCGATATTTCCAAGTCACCGTGCTTATAAATGCAGCCGAAAAAGATCACCTAGGGTTTAGTGCATAGAGGGTAGGCGGCTGCAGCAAAAGGGTTCGGTGCAGGAGATTTTGTTCTCTTTGGTGACTGCGGAACAGAGGCGCAGAGCAAGGCTTGGTTTTGTGCGGTTGCAGTTGAGGAGATTTTGTGTAGTCTCTTTTAGGGTTTTTTGTGCATCCCTTTGAGAGGTATTTGTGAGGGATTTGAGAGTTTGTTTGAGGGTTTAGTTTGTGAGTGATTGTAAACCCTAGTTGTAATCTCTCCCTCTATTAGTAGATCTCCCCCCTCCTTGCCCCGTGGACGTAGGCAATTTGCCGAACCACGTAAAAATTGGTTGTACTGCTTTTGTGTGATTTGTAATAGCTTTTAGGATCCCTCGACAGGTCAGTCCTAGAACTGATGAGAGGAAGAGCCGATATCTCACTTGGTTGAGATATCCGCTTCAGATTCTTGTCTCCTTGGTGAGACGGGAATTCTTATTGCGATCTGACTCTCTTGTTGTGTTGTCGAAGTGCTGCCGAAATTTCCGCTGCGCGCAACACACTTTTCATGAATTGAGGGGCTTGTTTCAAAATATAAGAGTTGTAAGGCACTGATATTGGAAGAAAAAAACGTTGAAGTACATGGTTTTCACAATAAATGGGGTAAATTTTCAGTCTATTTGTTAAACTATAAAAATTACTTTTTTAGAAAGTAGATAGGCTTCGAAATCATTAAAATTGCTATTGTGTTATTGTATTCCAAAATTATTTTGAAATTAGTCCTTAAGTTAATAGAAATGTTATTAGATCCTCTAATTCTCACAATCTTTTTAAAATTAATCTATGTAGTTGTTGCTTCTACTTTTTATTGAAGAGAGTAATTTCAAAATAACTTTTTAAAAATTAAGGAACCTAATATTAATTTAAATGATTTGAGAGATCAATTTATAATTAACTTAAAATTGTATAACTTAATAACAATTTTCATGATTTGAAGGATTAATTTCAAAACATGAAAGATTTAAAGGACTAATAAAATTAATAGAGATGCTATTAAGCCCTCTAAATTTCATAATCTTTTTTTAAATTAATCTCTCTAATAGTTGTTTCTACTTTTTTATTGAAGTGAATAATTTTAAAACAACTTTTTAAGAATTAGAGAATTTAATAGCAATTATAATGATTTGAAGGATTAATTTCTAATTAAATTAAGAATTCTAAGGATTAATAACAATTTTCATGATTTGAGGGATTAATTTCAAAATATGAAAGATCTAAATGACTTATATTGAAAGGAATTTTTTAAATAAACGTAAAAAAATAAATGGGAAAGTTTTGTAGGAATCGAACCTGGGTCGACCTAGATTGACTTATTAACTTTAAAAATTGTAGGACTTAATAATAATTTTTATGATTTGAGGGATTAAGTTTAAAATGTGAAAAATTTGAAGGACTCACGTTAAAAAGATTAAAAAGATTAAAAAGAGTTATTGAGCTACTTAATGTTTATGATGGGTTAAGTGTATTATTTTATATATATTAAAGAATTTTAGTGTAGCTATGAAACGACTTTCTACAGTTGTAAACCCAATAACTTTAGGATATATAAACAACTTTGGGATTTATAAACAGTCAGTTTTTCTTTTTTAAACGAATTCCCAATGATATTTTCTAAATTGGCCTTCAACAACACTCTGTAAGTGGGCAAAACATCCTATATAGCAAAATATTTTCCCCTACAGTAAGATTTTCAAAAAGTAATCATATGAATAGAAATTAGATCCAATTAATTATATAACCAAATTGACTGGATATAAAGATGATCATGTTCCCCTCTTCACCAAAAAAAAAAGTATAGGACTTCACTCAGTAAGAAAAACTTGAAGACCGTTGGTCAGTACAGTTTTATGTAATAGAATCAATCAACACAAGTTCTACATATGCCTCAAATTTATATCACGAGAAGAAGAATTTTCTTTCCATGACAAGAATTTTCTTAGTGTGTGAGATCAAGAAGTAGGAAATAGAAATCATCAGTGGCAGATCTAGGATTTCCTGAAAAGTGGTGTCACTATTAGGAAATAGAAATAATCAGTGGCAGATCTAGGATTTCCTAAAAAGTGGTGTCACTATATAATTAATATTAAAATACTTTAAAAATTGCCCCTGACGAGTTTTCATATTTTTTAAAAAAGTTCATTATCACATCATTAGTAACACAATCAAATACATCTTTCTCAAAATATGTCACTGTTAACGAATTCTCGAGTTATGAGCTTGAATTGAAAGGTGAGTTTATTAGTGGATAAATATGAAGAAAAAAAATCCCTTGAGTTTTGGGTTCTCATAAATGTCCTTCAACTTTCAACATCTTTCAAGAGCAAATTATTAACGATGTTATCCGTAACTTCCAGGTGGGTGGGTAAAATTACGGCAATAAGATATTTTTGCTAGTGAAAAATTGTGATTTTTGAGAATCACTGAAAGTTGAAAGGCGTTTTCTGAGAATCTCAAAACTTAAGAGGAGTTCTGCAACATTTTAAAAGATACGTGAGTTTATCCGAGAAACCCTTGAAATTAAGAGTTTTTTTTTTATTTTCCATTTTTTACTTGGGTAGGTTCTCGTGGCAAGTTGAAAACTAGAGCGGGGTCACATGATTTATAAGTGGGGTCATTTATTTGTTTTTGTTGGCAAGATGAATTTGTTGATGGGTGGGTTTAGGAAGTGGCTCTTGGTCCTCCTTGACCAAAGTGGGGTTATGTACACCCCACTTTTGTCAATGTGGATCCACCCTTAGAAATCATCCACCTTGTTTGTTGAAACAAATACAAAATACAAATCTTATCAGAGCACTCTCTACAAAGAGTATTATCAGCCACGATCGTCAGATTGGAATCCGACGGTTGAAATCGAGTTGGGCCTACAAGAGACTCGGACCAAGTGGAATCTAGAAGACTATTGGAGGCCTTAGCAACAAAGAAACTTCCGCCTAAGGAAAGGAGGGAACCTCTACAGGAAGCAGTCCATTGCAAGAACAAAATCCATCTCTCTCTCTCTCTCTCTCTCTCTCTCTCTCTCTCTCTCTCCTTATCAAATGGACTAACCACTATTAATATGACATGTAAATATCATCATATATTCAAATGCATGACCTATTTATAAATAGCTCCCGTACTTTAGTAAAGCATGGCGGCTATTGATCAATATAGTACTATTATCACCTCCAATATTCGCATGGATGGTTTCTCCTCTGGCCACTATCCTCCGTTGGATCTCTCCGACTATATTCTCACGGATGAAGTCCCCACGGAGTGCTCGGGGCCTGCTTCGACCGCACAATTACCAATACAAGGGCGGCTAGCTTCGTCGATCGCTGAAGCTAGCAACGCGGCTAGCTCACATCGTGCGAATAACTATGTTGACAGCAGCAGTGGCGGTGGTGGTGGTGGCGACAACCATAATACAAGGCAAGTAACTTACTTTTGAGAAAACCGGTGCGTACGAACCTTCTTCAGTCGCAAAAACGGAAACGAAAAAGAATTGTTTCTTGTAGAAAACTATATATGGATGTATGAGACCCTAAAACCTAAACCTCAATTTAGCTAAATATTTGAATGCATTGTCGCGAAATTTAGGAGCTCAAGGGAAGGGCACAGGGTGGCATTCAGAACGAAGTCAGAGGTGGAGATCATGGACGATGGATTCAAGTGGAGAAAATATGGCAAGAAATCGGTCAAAAATAGCCCAAACCCGAGGTAAAATTTGAAATAGAATTTATATACTCCTTGACGCATGTATCTTATTAATATGGACACCCTGTAGCATCATGCTGTGCCATTCGTTAATGCTCAAATTTGATTACAGGCAAACAAATCATGTGTGCTGTTCCTGTTTATTTATTAATGTGTTTTTCGAACGACAACCTGTGTTTTTTGAATTCAGATGTCCGGAATATCTGCTAAATATCAAACTTAAAGGGTAATTAAATGACACAACGAGATGCTACAGACCATTTATTTCCAAGTAACTTTTTGACCTAGTGAATTGAATATTAATTTGCTTTATTTGATTTTTTTTTTTTTAGGAACTACTATCGTTGTTCGACTGAGGGATGTTCAGTGAAGAAGAGAGTAGAAAGAGACCGTAATGAGCCTAGTTATGTGATCACGACATACGAAGGGATGCACAATCATACAAGTCCTGATGTTGTTTATTATGCAACTCAAGATCTAGAGTCTGGTAGATTTGTTGTTTCCGGGCTGCATCAAATCCCTCGAAGCTCTTGATTGTACGTTTATGTCATATTTGTTGATGAAATTGCAATTTGCCAGCTTTTTTGGTGATGTGTATATAATAGTAGGTTCTCATGCATTTGTATGGTCATGGAATTCTTTTATGTAGATTCATTGAAGATTGCAGTCTAAATATGACTCTACTGCTTTCTACCTTATCAAGAGAGCTGGATTTTGAGTGTCAGTATTCTGTGACTTGATGTACATAATTTTTAGGATGTGTATGATTACATGTGTGTTTTTTTTTTTTCAAAGAAAAAACGATGGTAGCAGCGAAATGCTGATATCATATCATTTCGGTGTGAATCTAAAATTATCTAATTAATTGTTACAATTTTTTTACTCCTTAAATAATC